AGGGAACGGAGACGTCACGTCCCGTCGCCACAGCTCCTGTACCACCGCTGAGCGGCCGGGTCACCGACTCGGCTCCTCAGCGAAAACCTGAATATGCGCTGCATCTGCTGCCTACTTATACTCACGCTGTGATCAGCGGCAGCTGGATGCAATAATCGCATGCCAATGTGCATTGGCTCGTTTAGTTTACACTCGAAGTAGATTGGTCTCTCTAAGCGAGATCCCAATTTCGTCGGTCATCCGACGTGACGTCTCCGTTCCCTCCTTCAGGGAACGAGGGTTACCATACGTAACCGAGACGTTACTCTGCATTGGACAGCACAGGAGAGCAAGATGGATACTAGAGCATGAGCAAGTGAAAGAAGACAGGAGGGATGGAAAGGAGGTGTATACATGATGCCTTCGGTGGATAGAGGTTGGCGGTAAACAGCAGGTGGGGCGGCGGGTTCAGGTTTCCCGGCACAGATGGCAGAGGGGCTCGATTGATAGAGAGTATAGGGCTTGAGGCGCCATGTGATAGTAGCAGAACAGATCTGTGTGCGAGTGGGTTCCTTTAGACCTGATCAGCTTGATAACATGGATTGAGCTTGACCCCTCATTCACGCACACTGGTGTCTAAGTGCCATCGTTAGTTTGGACACAGTGTGGTTGGGTTTCTGTCTCAGTTTATTCTTGCTGTCGTATTTTTACCTTCCTATCTCTCTCTGCTCTCATTTTCTCTCACTCCTCTGAGAGAAGTAGAGTCTTTAGAAATGTTCTCTCAGAAGTGGGTCACACAGGAGCAAAGCTTTCTGGGACGCGAGGGGTGGGTACAGATGGATTTGACTCTCCGATAGCCCAATAGTCAGAACCCATGGGGAACCGCAACACGGCTGCCCACCACCACCCGTGAACCTCAAAGCCCCCCATCAACTCTATGCTAATGACTCCATGCATGCTCTGGCTTCGTTTTTTTTTTTTCGGGGGGATTTTTCACCCATTCCGGCTCGTTCTGCTCCATCCCAGCGGACCTGCAGGGAAACCGTAATCTTTAATCTCAAGCGTTTCCTCCTGCTGCGTTTGAAGAAATTAAATCCAAATTGCCGCACGTAATTACCAGGATGTGGCCCGTACTGATTCCATTAAAGCTGAACTACCCTTAGCCCAGCTCCTTTACAGACAGCAGGTCTAAAATAGCCCCCAAAACCAAACAAAGCAGCATTTCTCCAACTGTGACCACCCAGCCTTTAATAATCTGGCCAAGTTTGTGATGTTTCATCTGCACCACACAAACCAAACAAAACCTCATCAATCCGTGCGTATGAGGATGTGGAACTCCATCATAAAGAACCCAGAGTTGTGTTTGAGCGATTGTTTCTAGCCTTGCCTCTGAGTGAGTTGTTTGGGAAAATGCATCACTGTCTCTTGCTTGCAGGCCCATGCTGCACCATATGGCTAATGGCAAGGCGTACAGCAATTAACAGCCCTGATTAATGGAGAGCAGTCTAATTGCAGACTGGTAATTGAGCCTTTCTCTCAGCACAGGCTCTGCATCAAAACACCATATACAGATGAAGAAGAGAAAAAAAGGAGGAAGATAGAGACGAGAATGGGTTGTTTACTCATTTGAAACACATGCTTTTGGAAAGCTCTTTGGTATGAAACGTGGGACCTTAAGGGTACCTTTCTGTACCAGTAGCGATATGTGCTTCAGACGTGATCTGTGTTATCCTACAGTAGCAGATCAAAGCTGACGTGGTGAGCCTTTGTAGACACGTATGGTACTAAGTGTTTGTCAATACACATCTTTAAATCAGTGACTATTTTGAAAGTGCGATAACAGAAGGCTGTGTGTGCATGTGTGCATGTGTGCATGTGTGCGTGTGTGTGCGTATAAGAAAGGTAGTGAGGTGGTGCGAAAGATTGAAAGAGAAAGAGAGAGCCTTGGCTCTCCTGCACATATTTCATTGTCAAAACTAAAAGCAAGCTGCATTCATTAGCTGTGGAATAACAAGAGGATTCTTATTGAGTAATGAGTTTTTCCTTGTCCTAATTAGCCAAGCATGAGTGGTATATTTTTAGTAGAAAACTGTTCAAATGCTCTCCACTTCAACCAAATATAGATGAGGACTCATCTCCACAACCCAGTTTTAAGTGCAAGGAATTTATCTTTTGATTTTAATTAAAGGTGCATGGCTTTCTCTCGCTCTCTTTTTCTTGCAGAGCAGGAAGTGGATGACCTGGGTAGAGATTCAGGAAGGGAGAGAGACAAGGGTTGCTCTGAACTTTAGGTCCGTCTTTGTTCAGTTTTCATCTCATGAAAATTCCATTGCTTATGCTGTCACTACAAACAGGGATGAGCAAAATTCAGAATTGGCTCCCTTTCAATTCAATAATGTCAATTTAATAGGAAGTTAAATATGCATATCTGCAAATGAATGAATAATGGCTTAAATATTTGTGTGTTCCTAACAAAAAAGCTATTGTTTATCTACTTTTATGGTACATTTTGGATCTATATGGGAAAGAGCAGCATAATCAATTAAGATGTCTAACATCTCTATTTATGTTCAGCAGACTAAAGTACGTAATACAGGTTTAAAAGAGTTGTTCATGTTGTTTTCATGTTTTGGTGAACATCAAGTACATCATCCATCCATCTATCTCTGTAAACCTTCAAGGCTACACTTTCCTCAAAATTATAAAAAAATGTTTGTCTTCACAAACTTTGCTTTTTAGTTAAAATTAGTTTGGTTAAAAATGTATTGTTCAAATTGCAATTCTTCATCCTAATTGCTCAGTTCAAATTCAGTACATATTCAGGAATTACAATTCTGAATGGCACACAAAATGAACTGTACAGAAGTGTATTTTTGTGTCTCTGTATTTATTTCATCAAGAAATAAAATAAGAACCACCAATCACTGAAACATCAGCCTCCAAAAATAGAAATGCTGCCTGGCATCTTTTCTGGACAAAGCCAAGCTTTGATTTCTAAGGCTGAGGCAGAGTCTGGGAAAGAACACTCTGATAGGAAACAGGCTGGCATAAGTTTATCAGGATCCCATTTGGACTTGTGAAAAATAATCTGGGAGTGTCTTGTGTAATAGTGCATCGTAATTCTAAACTTGAGCCTTGATATAAATGTACTACATCCCTCTTAAATTAAAGTAAACTGTTTATACCAGGTTTGACGGACATGTATGATAAATTAAAGAATAATGATCTGACCTTTCAGCAAATTTATAATAATGTTAATCTATCCTCCCCCTTACATCTAATTTTACAACAGGGCTTACACACAGCTGTGTGTGTGTGAGCAGAAAGCTCAGTCCTGTCCCACTAACTCTGGATCCAGAGGTCTGCAGTCTTGCCAAGACCAAAACGATGCCAAAGTAAAGCTCTCACAGTCAGCGGGCAGAGCTGGGTAGGGAAGGTTCAAGAGCTTGATTGTGTAATAGTGAAGGAAGGAGTGTGGCGTACAGTGTGTGTGTGTGTGTGTGTTTCTCACCTGCACATGATCTCGTGCGTCAACAGGACCCGGCACATCTCTGGGTTTTTGTCTTGCCCTTCATAGATAATTGCCTGATGAACAAGAGAAGGAGGGAAAATGTGGTTAGAGAAAAATTGACAAACAACATTTTCTCCTTGTGGTGTAAACGCTCTGAGCATGCACAAATTTCCATGACTAACTCTCAGGGTGTTTAAATCCTATCACGAAAACAATCGAATGTCTGTTTGCATCGTTTCACTGAAACAAAAACATTATGACATCATGCCATACACACACTGCAGCACTTATAGGCGGTTAATGTGACCCATCTTCCATCTGGCAGAGGACTGCCATTGAAAGATCTCATGCAGCATGGGAATGATCAGGTTGGTTTTAATTTCTGTTATCAGAATGTTCTGTTCATTTGGTCCCATGTTTCTCACTCCAGACATTGGGCTCTGAATTTCATAGATGTCTTTTCGTTTCAGCCAATCAATCAATCAATCAATCAAAACTGCCCTGTGCATCGTGGGAATGCTTGTACAGAGCCTCCTTGTATGGGGTGGGCCGTCTCTGACTGAGCCAGGCTCAAAGTGGGCAATTTAATGCCCACTTACCTGCTGCAATGGAAAACGATCCCTAACCACCTCTATAAGAGCTTAAACTTGGCACATCATGTTCGGTTATGTGAGAACCAATGGTGTTTGGTGTCACTGACATCAAACATGGCGACAAGCAAAGTTTGAATGTGCACATCTGCAAATCAATGAATAAAGACTTCTGTGTGTTCTTCACAAAAACGTTACTTAAATTATCTATTTTTATGGTACTTTCTGAACCTATATGCATGGGAAAGAGCAGCGTGATCATTCTGTCTATCTCTGTTTATGTTCCACAGAAGAAAAAGTCATACAGGTTTGGAACAACGTGAAAGTGAGTAAATGATGAAAAGAGTTTTTATGTTTGTGTGAATTATTACTTTAAGATCCAATCTAATACATCATTATCACTGGTAACTGACAACTGGCAACTGATTTTATCTTTACTTCAGATTTGACAAAGTATTTTACATCAGATATCTTTGTTTCAGATTTGACAAAAACTATTAACGCTAGATGTTAATTGTATCAGAGCTGCACACAATTCACAATGGAAATGTGTGTGACTGAATTGCGATTCAAATTGAATGTAAGAACATTCATGTAATTTTTAACTAAAAAGGCAAAGTTTTTCAAGACAGATGATAGACAGATGATAGATAGATAGATAGATAGATAGATAGATAGATAGATAGATAGATAGATAGATGTATATAGATGACTACACGACTACAATGTAGATAGACTACACTTCTCCTGTCATTCCAATTGAACTTCCTGTGAGGTATGGTTAATTCAATTCCAACTCACTCCCATCAACTGAAAACAGGCCAATTCTTCAATTCTGAATCTTGTACAATCCTGCATTGTATGCTCTTGACAACATTCAGGGCCATCATTTGTTGCTCGTTGGTTTAATTAAAAGCAGACGTACAGAATCAAAAGAAATATGTGTGTAGTGTTTGTTGGACTGTGCAGATTACTGTCCTATTATATCATAGCGCACCACCCTTGCCACAGTGCCCACCCTCCACAGGCATCCGGGGCTCACAGATTGGCTAATAATACAGCAACACAAAACATTATTGTACAGCAAAGCACCCTTATTACCACATGAGAAAAGATGTTTGTGAATTGAAAAAGAGATAAAGGAGGACAACCCGATAAACTGCTTAATTACAGGTCCTTCGAAAGAAGTGTACTCCAGTTAGTGTGAAATAGCCCTCTAGGAAAGATGTATGTGCGTGAGCTGCCATAAGCCTGCATCTGTGAGACTCCATGCATGTGTATGCATTCACGCATGTATTTGTGCATTTGCATGTGTATGTTTATGTGTGCAGCAAGCAGTTGGGCTGCCAGACTGGAGCATAGCGAGCCATCTGGCCCAGCTAACACTTCATCCAAAAACCTCAGCTTTGTTTCCATCCTCCAATTCCACACAAGATGTCCCCCACAGCCGTGAATCAGTGACTCTACTCAAAACATACACACACTGCAGCCTATTAACAGGCTGCTCTCTGTCACACACACACACACTTAAACCCGTTTGCCATGAATCACTCTCTCTTTCTCTCTGAACACACATATACATGCCACCCATGGCAACTGAAGACACAGAAATACAGCTGATGGTTCTAATGAGAAACTGTTTTCCTCACAAGTGCACAATGTGACATGAAACACTTGTTTAAAAACAAGTTTTATAAGTAAAGTATCAGATCCAGAAAAAAAGTTTTATTCATATTTGATGTTTTTTATTTCCTGTGATTAGAGGACATAGGTGATCGGGGACATTTGTTTGTTAGGTTTCACATTGCGGAAATGAGGGTCAAGGTCCTCTAAAAGCACACAAGCATGCATCACTGTCTGAGCCTAGAGCCTCGACCCTGCAGGCTTTCTGAGAGGAAGTGGGAGGCAGAGAGAGCAGTTCAGGCCACACAAAGACGTCCTCTACACCACCACACATTCATTTCATATATAAGACCAGCTATTTATCACACAAAGACCCTGCAAACAGACTCGGAATAACTCCATGCCGAGAACAGTACATAAGTGCCTGGAAAAAGTCTGAAAACAGTTTATCAATTTCTCCTTGGAGGCAAGCACAACAATGGTCGTGCATCCTCCTCTGGATTCGAGCTAGCGCAACACGAAGCGTCATCGGGTGGGTTTTTTCTGTAGCCCCTGACAGTCTGTCATGCAAAGGCAAAATGCAGCATGTTGTTTATGTAATACTGAACTTTGGTCTCTTAAACCAGGGGGTTTTAACCTAACAAAAATATTATATACATCTAACATCACTCTAATAGTATGCAGAAAAAATATATAGTGTACTATATACAATATAAATTAAGTATTTTAATAATATGCTAAAACCAAAGTAAACATTTTCAAGATAATTCAGTAAGATAATAATATAAAACAATAATATAAGTATTTAATTTTATAAACAATATGTTGTATTCATTCTATCATGTTTTTTCTCAGACAGTAAAAACGGGCCTTTTATAATAATAATAAAATATTATTTCATGTTTTTTTCAGACAGTACAAATATTCTGCTATTATAATAATAATAATAATAATAATAATAATAATGAAAAATTGAAAACACCTTGTCTTAGACTATGATCAGTCTTGTCTCAGGTGGGTTTGGTTCAGTTATGCTCAGATTTAAAGAAAACCAAAATATAAAATCAATTAAAATTTAATCTGAAAAATTTTTCTATTTCATTGTTGGTGTAGTAGTACTGTTTTTTTTTTTTTGCCTATGTGGGACTTTAATTCAAAGCAAAAAAAAACACACTATTGTTTCAAATATCCTCACTTTTTTATCACCAAGTTGCAACAAAAATGTCTTTAAGATTGTGGTATATAGTAGCTTTGAATGCTTTTTCTTTGCTATAGATTTTACATTTTCAATGTAGATGAGTAGACTTAATCATTAGGATCTTTAGGCCCTCAAAGCTTGTGTGTGTAAATATTTGCAAATGAGTAGCATTAAGCCTTTATGTGGCCTGGTACAGAGCGGCAATTCACGCGCTATCTGACATCATCAGAGTCTCCAAACAGCTACTGATTACAGGAAATATCTAATATAGGAGATTTGTGTCACTTTGTTGCATGTTGTATACTTTGGGGAAGTGTTCCTGGCATGTAAACACACCCTATTCCGCAATTAACAGGAAAAATATGCACACAAGCAGAAAGAACGACCGAGACCTCCCTCTCTCCCGTGCAAATTTATTTAGGAATCTGCCCGAAGCTTAGCTCTAGAAAACACACACACAGCAACAGGCAAGCTACAGCTCACAGAGTTACCAACCAGTTCCAGCCCAGAACTTTTCTGAACAAAGCTCTCCTTAAGAAGGGCCACGGAGCGCATGAAACATGCATGGCACGGTGTACCGAGGTGTGTGTGAAGCTTTCATTAGGCCCTGATGCTGCTTTTAATGCATATTTTATATTGCACAAACTGCTCCATAAATCTCGTTTGAGAGCCGCCAGTGCCGCCTTGAACTGACAGCCGCATCTGAGGCATGTAAACAATGCACTGTAAATACATGAAAACACATTTCCCACTTTGTTACCATCACGCTAGCGTGTCAGCGCAGTGTGTGCGCGCATTAAGCCTGTGTATGTGATTCGCTTTTGTTCTGCACTTCAGCTGTTGACGGAAACAGTTGGATGGAAGGATAAAGAGTGAGAGAGAGAGTATTTTACTGCATTGTCTTCATCAGATCTGTCACGAGCTCATGCATTGATCACAGATACGGCCTGTCAGTTTGACACCCGCTCCATCTCTCCTCACCCGCTCCAACCGTTCCCACAGGCAAACCGGGAACGCGTATATGCGTTTTTTTGAAAGCGTGAGCGTAAGAGGGGTGCTGAATATGTCCGTTTTCATGTGCTTAACGTGAACCATTTCTTGATTTTGACGCAAAGTTGATCCTTGCAGCTCTAGCCCAAGTTGTTTGATTGTCTCTAATAGCTGTGTGCATGTACAGAAGCTAACTGTGTGGTCAGGCAACTGGACTTTACCGCCTTGCTAAGTGCTAAAGAGAAGTGTGTGTTGAACAGCTCTATAAACCTGCTCATCAGCCCTCCCGGCCCTACACTGCCAAAGCCTGCACATGCTGAGTGGAGAGGCGCTCTGTAGCCTCTCTGTACAGAGTTATGGGGCTTTGATGGGAAATCTTAAACACATTGCGAGCACTCCTCAGCATATGTAGGCTGACTGCTCACCGCAGAGTGGTTTTGGACCGGGTTTTCTGAAAGGCATTTAAAGACCAGCTAACACTCTGTCATAACCTAAGCCGTGTTTCATGCTGACAGGGATGAGAAAAACTCGGCGCAGTCAAATGACAACGAGAGGAAAGAGGAGCCAGACATAAAGCCAGTTATTCTTAACACAAAAAAGGTGCATTCAACATTAGCAAAATTTTGACAAAATTTTGCGGGTCCTTTGTGTATTGTCAATAATTTATTGATGTCACTTTCATACCAAACAGCGTTCTGTTGGTCATTGAGGTGAAACCATGTGACCAACAGCAAATTTTTCACCCTCAAAACATGGATTCCTATTGGAATTACTGAATTTCGCACTCAAAAATTCGTTGCACCTTGCAAAAAGGTATTGTATGTATACAGAGGTGGAAATTAACAAATTACATTTACTCACGTTACTGTAATTGAGTAGCTTTTTTGTGTACTTCTACTTTTTAAAGTAATTTTTAAAATCTGTAATTTTACTTTTACTTAAGTATAAATCGCTCCCTGGAAACTACTGCAGTAAATAGGCAGGAGAACAAACTGGCGCTAAAAATCACAAGAAAGATGCAGACGGACAAGACAGGGGTTATGGTGCAGACCCAGCTGAAAACGAACCCCCGTCGTATTCTGCTTAAGTTGAACTCGAAGGAAATGAAGTGAACCCCTGGCCATATTTGTGTTTGCCTAGGGCAGGCATCCTCAAATCTGGCCCACGAGATCCACTTTCCTGCAGAGTTTAGCTCAAACCCTAATCAAACACACCTGAGCATACTAATCAATGTCTTCGGGATCATTAGAAAATCACAGGTAGGTGACTTTGATCAGGGTTGAAGCTAAACTCTGCAGCGCATTGGCCCTCCAGGGCAAGATTTGAGGAACCCTGGCCTAGGGAGACCAAACTAGCAGCTTATAAAATCTCGACATCAACCCTTCGCAAGCATGTATAAGGTAAATAGGTTACTTGCATCGTTGCATTGGTGGTTAAAATGAAGCTTTGACAGTTTAGTAAAAGGTTTTGCACAAATTAGCCAAAAAGACAGCGGTGCAGGGTGTGCGATATATATCGTCTGCAATAATATCGTAATTGTTGTTTTAATGATGTGCGATTTGACATTATCAGTATTTTACCAAAAACCAAACAAAACACTCCTACAGAGTGCCGTGAAGTCTAGTATAGAGTGTGTTCTTTCACTGCGTGATTCAGTCTGTTAAAATGCATTTAGAAATAAATGATCACAAAACTGAAGAAATAGGGGCAGAAAATGTATATATTTATATCATTTCATATAGTACATCAATATCACACAAAGAGTGCCATTTTTTCCTCCAAAATCAGCATGATTACATATAGATTTTTTTTTACAACAGTTCAAGAAACAAGTTAAGAGACTTTTAGACACCATATTGCCTGTTTTTGCTCTATTTTGACAACAAAAATAATTCCAAACACAGCCACCATATAGCACAGTTTTGCGTCTCTGAGCAATGACGGTGTTTCGTTCCTCAATGAATCAACCGTTTAAATGATCCGGTTCAATCGCAATGACTCACTTATTAACAGTGACTTGCTGACACCTACTGGCGGTTTTAATTTCACATTTAAAGTATCTTTTGATTTGTATTTATTTATTTATTTATTTATTTTTATAATTTCAAATGAGTATTCAACATTTTATGTCTTATATAGCCTATCAAAACATTATTTCTGCATTTGTAACTGCAGGTTAAATGCATTAATGTCCTACATTAAACAGTGTTTAAATACATCTAAATGCCACTTCTGATGAAGCTTCTGTGTTTCCTCTGCATTGAAAAGATGCATTTTGTTGATACGGATTTAATTTGCCTGTTAACAGCCTAAATGTCTTATTATTTTAAATAACTGATTGCTTTAATTAAAAACAACTGGTTTGAGATTTATAGGCCTATCCCAGGGGTGTCAAACTCCTGTCAAAGTTCCTGGAGGGCCGCAGCACTGCACAGTTTAGTTCCAACCCCGCTACAACACACATACCATGATGTTTTCAAATAAGCCTAAATGATTAGATTAGCTGGATCAGATGTGTTTAATTAGGGTTATATCTAAACTGTGCAGGGCGGTGGAGTTTGACACCCTTGGCCTATCCCATTTTTGCCTCCCTCCCACTGTTAAAATGTAACTAAGTAATTTTTACTTAGTTTTAATTTTTTTGAGTCAATTTTAAACGCGCTACTTTTTACTTTTACTTGAGTAGATTTTTAGACTGGTACTTTTACTTGTACTCAAGTAAAATTTCATTAATGTAATGGTACTTTTACTTGAGTATAATATTTTAGTACTCTTTCCACCTCTGTATGTACATTTGATAAAGGGATTCTGGGAAATGTAGTGAAACAGTCTTTTGTTGCTGAAAGTCCTGAGCAGTACCCCAAAACATGGTATTCACCATGTTTTTTGGACATACCATGTTAATATCAAGTACATACTGTCAGAAACAAAAATACAAAAATTGTACCTTTAGGGGCTTGTCACTGATACCCTTAAAAATACAACTTTGTACCTCAGTGTAACAATATGTATACCCTTTAGGTACTGCTATGAACAGTTTAGGGGTAAAAAATGTACAGTTGTTCCTTTATCAGTACTGCCACACTGACATGCTTTTGTATCCCTAAAGGTAAAAATTTTGCACATTTTTATGTAAATACCAAGTTTATTTCAAAGTACCGTGCTTTACTATCTGATACTAGCTGGCATGTTGACTCGGCTGCCAAACTTTCTTTCACACACACTATCTCTCTTTCTCGCTCACTCAGTGGCACCACATTATTAACAGGTATGGCAGGGCCGTTTGCCACAGAAATAGCCAGTAAATCAGTCGGTAATAAATGTGTACGTGGGAGACAACCCTAGGGAGATAAACAGCTATTTATTGAGACACTCAGTGAAAGGCTGAGCCGAGGCCAGTTCCCCTGGCCACTGTATTTACCTCAGGGGTGTCAGAGAACAGTCTCTCTACCTCAGCACAACGCTCCTGCCTTTCACCCACACACATAAATATGTCCCACTACACGCTGGCCAAACCGCTGAGCAGAGCGAGGGCAAGAACTAGCATCAGTAACAGCACCTAGCTTCTCACACATAAACATTCATGCAAAGGAAATTATAAACCACAAACAAATCACACAATACAGAAAGGGGAGCTGCGGAACTGTTTGTGCCAAGTGTGACATTCAGGGATTTTGTAGTAGGAATTTCTGAATAGAAATGAATGCTTTTGGTCATGACAAGAAGTATATGAGTGAAAATGTAATATTTGCTTTTTAAAATATATATATAAATAAAAAAATTATAAAATAAAAATGTATTATCAAGAAGAAATATTGATAATTGTAAAATAAATATGAAAAATTCTTACATTCATTTATCGTTGTTTTAAAAAAATATACAAACTATAATACATTTAAGAACACATTCTGCAAAAGACTAAATGTTTTATACTTTTAGACAAAATAAGCACCAAATTAAAATAACTCTGAGATGAGTTTTAGTATTTCTCTCACTCTCCACTTCTCAATAAGCACACATACACACACATAATGAAGCAAAACAGCAGCAACAGGGTGGAACAATAGGGTAAGTGTGCTGGCATGTTTAAATCACATGATGTACTAAGTGTCCGGAGCGTTAGCAGGCTGTCTGTCACACCGCCTGCTAATTACCTCATATCTATACACACTTCATCCTGCCTGGGGTCACACACATACACGCATATTACTTGTCATACAAAATGACTATTAAGAAAACAGCTCATAGGAAATACAATTATTTTAGATATTAATCAAAATAGCTTTTCATATTTATTTGATTACAGGTGTATTCTAAATATTTTTCTCTCGTTCATAATTATGAACTAAACTTTGAACTCAAATTTATTGTCACACTTCTTGACTCACAACTATTTGCGTTGTTGAATACACTTCCCTAAAGTGTCTTCAAAACAACATTTATAGACAGAGATCATGAGAGAGGAAGTGAGGGGGCGAGTGGGAAAGAGAGAATGAGAGAGGGGGAAAGGCTGTTTCTGATTTAGGGGGAAAAGGAAGAGCGCCACATATGAGATTGTGAGGTCACTCTCGCTGCCCTGCATTTTCTCATATGAGTTTTTCTCCATGGTTCAAACTCACAACCTGCACAGTTAATACAACAAGCTATAACAATCTTCATACATGTTTGTTCATAACACACATCTGTTCCCACAACACATTTGAATATGCACAGATAGATCCATAGTCGTTGCATGAGAGTCAGGCGCATACACACTTCAAGTATGCTGTTTAAACATTGAAAGGCACCACTGGATAATCCCCTGTGACAGACAATGAATACAACTGAAAGTCTCTTTCTTTCTTTCTTTCTCTCTTTAGCTATCAATCTCACTGTCACACGTATGCACATAAATACATGCATACGCTCAGTCATCTTAAATGATGTCCCAGAGAGAGTATGTCATATTTAAACACTAACCGATCCTCGTGCCCCTGAGGCATGCTAGAGTGTGTAACCCCAATCTCACCAGGGTGCACGGCACACATGCACACGTTCACTCTCACTGCAAATCACACACAGACTTTCACCAGACGATTCACCCACGAACTGTGGGGAATTTGAAATAACGTCTTACCTGTTTGGTCATGGAGTCAATCAGGCGTACATAAAAGTCCTGTTCTGTTCTGATGCCTGTAGAGGAGAGAAGATCAGTCTTCTTTAACTCACAGTACAATGCAGGACATACGCACAAATATGGATCAGAAATGAAACCGGCAGGTATATATTTATCATTCACAATGACATGGCTTTAATACAACATAGATTCTTCAAATGTCTAGACAACCCAACCCAACATAGACTCCAGACAGTGTTAAAGGATCGTGAAAAAAATTGGCTTTGGATGAAACTCAAACTTATATAGACCCACATACATAAACTAAAATAAAAATAGCTTTTTAGAAAGAGAAAGCATATAAGAAAAAAATGTGCAGCTTATAAAATAGTGAAATAGACATAATCAAAAATAACAATTACAGATATGTTCAAAACGTCAAATAAAAAGGTTTAGGAACGTGAGAGCCTGGCGCAACAAATTTTCTAACTCCTGGTTGTCATTTACCACATTAGCAGACAGAAAAGAGTGTACTTTCATTATGGCCAGGCCATTAGCTTCCATCAAAAATGAAGTGCACATTTCTGGAAAACGCGTAACCGGAAAAGTGCACTAATGGGGATCGTTTTGTGCTTCATTAATGTTTATAGTTAAAACGCTACGAATTTGCTGCGCATTTTAATCTCTTTTGTTTGAACAATTATACGAATTGTTATAACAGTTTATTATTATTATTTCAGCACATTATATTCATTTTAATCAGCTTGATCTAGCTACATAATGAATTATTTATTTCTTTGTCACCCCTCCTTATCGTTCTATCAGTCTCGCTGTCTTGTTGTTTTATTCAGATTGTCGCGCTGAAGTAAATCCCTTTTTATGCAAAAAGCTGAGGGAAACACGTGTTTGCATGTGTTTACGCAAAGTTCAATGAGTCTTAGATGATGCGCTCCTTCTTACCGTTGCTGTAAAGAAGCTGCAATCTGTAATGGATCCCATTGTTCGTCTTTTCTCCGGTACTTTCCTGCAAAAATAAATTCGATGGTTAGCAAGAAAAACCTATTTGACTATTTCTGACGAGCCCCGTGAGTCAGACCGGCTATTTCCCTGCGGACCAGGAGGCCGTAGAAAACAAACAAAAAACTGCAAACGCGCATTAGCCAGCCGAAACAAAAACGGTACAAAATATAGTCATTTTCACTGAGTAAACGAACGGGTTAAAAAATAGCCTACTCACGTCTTAAAAGAAAAAAAAAAAGTTTGTGTATTGTACAGTGTGATTTCACAATTCAATAACAACGTGCTCGGGGTATAGACGTGTACAAAGTGTCTAAATATACAGTTAGCATTAATAGCCATATTTTAATTAAATCAGCAGACACTTCGCTCAGATTAATTTACAAATGCTTACAAACTGTTTATTTGCCTAGAATATTTTTTCCTTCCCAATAATAAAAAAATAATTAGTTTTTTTAATAGCATCTTGAACGGGAATATTAACTTTATGACATTAGGCTATCACTGTAACATTTCTGCAAACTATACAGATGTGTTAGTAAATGCATAAAACTGAAGGGAAAATATAAAACTTGAGGCTCTCTTAAATTATAAGGGATGAATATGTAAAAATAAAAACATAATAATTAAATGGAGGTTTAAGAGATTCATGACAGAACAGTAATTTAATGCAAGACAATTATGTATTAAGCATAGGCAAATAAGCTTTCAACTTTAGGGTAATATCAATGGCATTTTATCTGTTAGTCTATAATAATTATCAGAATTGACATGCCATTTTCATTCAAATTTGCAAAACCAATATGCAAAAGAGAACGTTTCACTTGCCTTTTCTTTTTCAACAAATCCAACAAAAGTAGTTCTTTCAATTTCCACGGGTTGTCCTTGTCTGTCGTATAGCGCTAAAACGAAGTGGAAGAAGTTGGATTTGCGAAGATTTGAAGGAGGCTGTTTCTCAAAGTGTGCTCGAGCAAGACCCACTCCACTATGAACACACAAGACAGACAGAGAGAGGATGAAATATTTATATATGTATATTTTAAAAAATAAAAACAATACTTTTGTGATTATTTAATTACAATTTCCTAAAAAGGGTTAAAAAATATTTGTAGTTTTCAAATTGCAGTGCAAAAGCTCTTAAAATGTACTTTTGACAATTTAATAGTTTAAACAAATATGAATATAGCCTATAAATGAAATCAGAAATTAAAACTGTATGTAAACGTTTTAATTATTTTTATTCTCTTAAGTAGCATTTTATAACAATAATATGTCATTGTTGTTAATCAAAAATAATTAATATAAATATAACTGAATCTAACTACTATGTTCAGCTGCTTGTGACAAACTACAGGTCTGGATTGTCTTTCAAATTCAGTATTTAAAATGTAAAGCTACAGAATCAATGCAAAATTGTTGTTTAGAAGCAAAAAAAAAAATCGCTTTTTTTAAGCAAATGTCTATTTTAACATTAGAAATAATACTGTTAGAAATAAAAATAAAAAAAAACGTTTTAATGTGACTTGCAACTCAAGCATTCTGTCTGCTGGTGCCAACAGCACGCCGAAGAGGATGCTATGAACTTATCGCAGCAATAAATCAATCTCTTTGTCACCTGGTTATTAATAAGCAGATAGCGCGCACTGATTAGGATGATATACAAGAGCGTTTTGTGTCGTTCCAGGATGATAAGCGCACAATACTCCCGTCTAGTTGTTCCCGTAGCGCTGAAGACCGCCGCCGGCTTACCTCTGAGCGGCTGTGTTCGCATCCAACACCCCGGCACCCTGCATCCATGTCCGGACAGCGTTCATCCCGGCACCGATGGGCTCCTCTTTCATACTACTCCCGCTCCTTTGAATGCTGTCTTGAATCCCGAACATGAAAACAGACTCCTGTCACCGTCTCAGTCGATGCTTGCTTCTTTTGATCGCTCCGTTAAAAAAAGACAGTGAGAAGTGTATGGGTGAGCAGGTGTCACCGCGTTTGTCTCTATTAGCGCTTCCTCTCTGAAACAGAAAATAGAGCGACGTGCCAAAAGAAACGCGAGATGTCAACATCCAGGTTTGGGAACACCGTGCAACAATAAACAAACAAAAACTGCAAGATTAGACTGGAGGTCCCTTTGGTCTACCGTGCGCAAAAAAAAAGTCTAATGTCACTTTAAGAAACAATAGGATCAAAAACGGGCTTCGCTGAGGGTTAGATCAAATGTCATCATCCAGAGACTTTTTTTCTCTTTATTTTCTCCTCCTTTCCTTTCCTGTCTTTCTCCACAAAGAGTATTCTCTGATCAAATCACATGAATGAGCAATATGAAATCAACCAGGAGAGGTGGACCCTTGTGGAGACAGCTCCCTCGCTGTTCCCCTTGTTCAAACGGGAGTGATTTGTGTCCTTTCCCAAAGGAATCTGATTTGACTGTCTCTGGGAACTAAACAAGCAAACTAACCCCAAAGGGAGGAGGAAGAGGAGGAGGGAGTGACTGCGCACGCAGGGCCGCCCCCAAACATAAGTAAAGCCGAACTACCGTTAGCTGTCCACCCAACCACGAAGCCCGTCGCCTAATTAGATATCACAGCCCGCCCAGCCCACTTAGCGAGCGGCGTGTTTAGAGAGAAAACTAGAAAGAAGTCATGCGCGCGTTAAATATCACGCGACGCGAGTAACTGCCTACCGGAGCGCGTGATTGAAGCCAAATTGAAGTGGTTCACTTGAGTTATTTGTTTTAATATTACAAGGATATTTTAGAAACTGCACACTAAGTTTCTTTAAATACTGGTCTAGGGATGAGCTAGCGCGAGGATTATTTAATAACTTTCAAGGGTTGGACTTTTGAAAGGGATTTTTCAAGGTTCGTCTCGAGATGTTCAAGTTGTCTTTTGGCGCCCGTTGCACAGTTAAGCAAAAATCAATTATCCTAAATATTTTTTTTTTTAACAAAACGCAACAGTGTTTTTGAGAAATGTAAATATAATAAAGTGATAAATGACAGTCTTTTTATTTATTTTTATTGAAATATCGATAATGGTCCTGACACAAAGTGCTCAAGCAGCCTACTGTTGCTATGGTTACCTGCTAGGCGAACGCTATTTCTGTTTTTGAGCATTTGTTAACTCTTACTAACTTTTGTAATATAACTTTTGTTGGTACTGAAACAACCCCAAGCAGCCGCGGCCATATTAGAATATTGTTCTTTATTTAAAACACGTTTGTCATATCAAATGAATTAAGACCATGATGAAATAAACAGAAATAATGACACGAGAGTTTATATTAAATATAGCCTATGTAGGCTAGAAACCTTAGCTCATGTGACATGTTTGACAAATAATATGAGGAAATTAATAATTGTGTCATAATAAGTCCTTAAAAGATTTAGTAAAAAATACATTAAAGCATTACACTAAATGTGAAGTTTGTGGCTTTTATTTCCAACAGATCAGTTGTTATCAATGAAAAACAGCCTACTAATATCAAATTATTTAAGAGGCATACATTGTATTTAAAAAAAAAGACATTGCTGATAAATAAGTCATGTACAGATATTATAGGCTAAAACATTTGTTCTGACAAACGACAGTAAACGCATTAAAAAACTGGATATTCAGACCCAAACAGTTTAACAGCTGCTTTGTTAGATTCGATATAAAACGACAGTAATATGTACAGGAGTAAATGCTGGGAGCGCAAACCATTTTACAGCAGCTTGTTTTTTTTTTTTCCACATAACAATAGTTTTGTTTTAGATTTAGAATGCAAATAACAAGCTTTATTATAGGCCTATTTTAGAAATGAGTAGTTTTGTTTTAGATTTAGAATGCGAATAAAAAGCTTTATTATAGGCCTATTTTAGAAATGAATAGTTTTGTTTTAGATTTAGAATGCGAATAACAAGCTTTATTATAGGCCTATTTTAGAAATGTGCAAAAGTGAGCACAGTAATGCACGGGAAATATTGCTAGACCTAAATAAAATCCTCCACAGCGGACAGAGGAAGTATAAGAGAGTCCCGTCCAATCCAGTGCTGGTCAGGCAGAGGGGAATTCTGCTCCCCCTGCGGGTCCCTGTATATTTACATTCCCACACAGCAGTTTTAAGTGGCAGAAACTACACAAGGAGTCTCAGTGGAAACGGTGTATTTTCATGTGTCCAAATAAGAAACAGACCTGTTATTTAGCCTATTAAAACGCGTTTTGTGCATCACTTAAAATATATAGCCTATAGCTTCAAGTGCATGTCTGTGCGTTTGGGGAAAAAAAAAAAAAAAAAAAAAACATGTGCCCATATTCATGATAATCATATAAAAATGTTCAAATGAACCTTTATATAATATAACTAATCCTATTGCTGACAGCGACAAATTCTATTTGATTTGTAAAACAGATGTCCACATAAATCACGCTGTCGTTCATGAGTAGCCTACTAACCCCATAATTGAATCGAATTACCATAAAATAAATCATAATGTAAAACAAAGTTCTTGTCACGTGAGATAATTCAATCAGTAAGTTAATTTTGTCAGTTTCAAACTACTAGGCCGCATGCCAACATTTTAGGCCTATATATCGTTATATATAAAAGGCTATTAACACTGTCGGGTAGTTTTGATAGAATGCAGTAAATCGGTACAAAATGTTTCTTTTTTTATTCTTTTTTTTATGCGTCAAGGTCAGACTGCGAGAAAGCAACTCGATAATAACTGTGTTCATTAATGTAGCCTACCAAAATAACCAGTAAAGGCTATTACCTCTGACTTTGTGTATCATCTCAGTTTGACGTTGCAGAGAAATAAGAGTTTCAGCTGGTGGAGATAATGAAAAAAAAAAAAAGTGTGGATATTTTGTACATACGTATAACGACTGAGTTGAAATGAAAAGAAATCGCATGTTGTGTTTTGGGCTCCTCAAAGAATCAGGAGGCGCGTGGTTAATCGTTGACAGCCCAACATTGCCATCTTGTGGCCACACATGGAAACACATTTGGAAATATATCTTAAAAACTTTTGTGTATTCGTTTGTGTCATCATTCCAATCCAAACCCGTATGACGTTCTTAAAGGGGTCATATGATGCTGCTAAAAATAACATTATTTTGTGTATTTGGTGTAATGAAATGTGTTTATGCGGTTTAAAAACACATTATTTTCCACATACTGTACATTATTGTTTCTCCTCTATGCCCTGCCTTTATGAAACGCGTCGATTTTTACAAAGCTCATCGGTTTGAAAAAGCGAGGTGTGCTGTGATTGGCCAGCTATCCAGTGCGTTGTGATTGGCCGAATACCTCAAGCGTGTGACGGAAATGTTACGCCCTTCACCATACTGTTGATGCCTGTCCGGCCGGAGAGACGAGACATAAACATTAAAACCCATTACAAACGAGGAATTTGTTGCATCCAGTGGGGACATAATTACTGATTATAATGACTTATACTGTCTTTTTACACGTTGCGTTGCAT